AGATCAAGGCCTCATTGTGCTAATAAGGGTCTATCCGTGCAACAAAGAGTTTACAATCTAAACTGAGACAAGACACAGTAGGTAACATAATGAAACAAGTGTCTGAGGAATGATTACGTTCACAATGAGAAGCATACACGGTGCTATTGAGAGAAGACCCAGCATCATTCTTTGACAAGTAATATAATACAATTGTGCACAGACTTTAAACGTATTCAATGCTTCAAAGTGGAGGGGGCTTTGAAGATAAAGAATCTTGATATTATTATCATAATTACTATGTATTTGTATTGCCACTGGGACCTTATTATACTGGATGCTGTAACAGACAAAATTAAAACAGTCTGTGCCTCAAAGAACATCCAAATTAAGCGGGCACAAGCGGGGAGGGAATGAGAAGGGTATTCATTTAAACAGCACCTTTTTGATCTGATTTATAGATGTGAAAAATGGGGCACTGAAAGGTTACGGGACTGGTCACAGGAAGTTAGTGGGGGAGTGGAGCCTTAGCAGGTTTGTAGTCCTTATTTCCTAATTAGTAGGCCACATTCCTTCCACTGCAGCATCTCACAATCTACAAGCCCAAGTGTGTTATATACAAAGACAGTGACAATATGAATGTGTCGCAGTCCCTTTGAAAGAATAGTGACCAGACAATGTAAGGAACAGTCCTTGGGCCACTCAGAGAAAGGGTCTTTAGGGATGCCACAATGAAAGGAATGCTACCTGGTGCAAACTATTTATTGCTGTTGCTGTCATGCTCCATAGTTTCATGGGAGTCCGTGGAGTCTCTGTGGCTGTCCATAAGCACAGGACTAGGCTCAGCTTCCTTACCCTGCTCTAATACAGCCCCAGGAAATACAAATTTGCTTCTTTGATTGTGCACAGAAAAACATAGAGGCAGGCATGCACACTGGTGCATAGCTTTATATAATGCCTGGTAAGTCTGGCCTGTCAGGCTTGTGCATGGAGAGACGTATCCAACTGTGACAGGTGCAAAAATTTATGGGAAAAAAGGTCACAAAAGTTATGCAGGGTTGAAACAGATTTATGACTGAACACAGGTGTGTGCCAGGACCTCAAAGCCTGCAGGCCCAAATAACATGGACATTTAACATTGGCCTGTACTGTGGATGATCTGTGGACAATACCTTATGCAACCAACGATCTTAATCAGAAATCTCCATTCTTTAGTGGGGGGAGCTTATACTTACCACTGAACTGATGTCTTAACATATATTTGGCTATTACAGTTTGGAAACAAGAGATGGATTTTTGAGCTTCAGGAGCCTAACAGTGCAAGATGCTGTGCTTAGTTAATGACTTGACAACATGTTTTTGCTACAGGCAGACTATTTATACATTCGCCAGCTCCATCAATACAGACTTTGTTATAGTGGCTATCATTGATTACATGGCAAACCTATGCCTATATAAATATGCAGGTTATTTTTACACATAGCTCCTAGCATTAGGGCCAGATTGTGCCTCCTACATTAGTGACTTCTCTAATTAAGCTGAGTGAGAGCACTCTTCCAGTTCTGTCACTCTTCTAGCTATGGGATGAGACCCAGAATGCCCTCAAGGCCATCCCTGCAAAATCTGCATGCTCCACAGCTCTATCCCCGGAGAGCTAGGAAAGGGGACAGATCACGCATTTAAGACAGACACCAAACTGAGGATCTGCTCACATGTGTGTGTGCCATTTATGTGCTGTGTGTCCCCTGCACTCTCATTTTCCGAGGAAAAGCGGCTTTTTGAAAAGGGGGGGGTTTGCTGAAAAGAACGTGTCTTGATAACTTTCACTTTCGAAAGCTTATGCAAATTCCCGTGGAATTTGCATATCCTCTTTCAAATCTTCCATGTAGTCTAGATGAGCCCTGGATGGTCACTGAGGACAGAACACCTAAGCAAGCGCAGTCACTGGGAGGTTGGAACCAATTCCCCCCTCACCCACTAAAATCAATTGAAGTTTTCAGTGAAACTTGAAGATGATGACACGTATACCCCCCACTCCACAGACTCACTTCTGGGTCCCAGCGGATACTCCAATCTATGTGCTGATCTATGGCACTCACTGTGCACACATGTGAATGGAGCAGCTAATACATAAGACAACAAAGGGCTACATTTCAATCCTGCTTACAGTCCTTTTGTACTACTCGGGAAGGGTCTGTCATTCTGATGCACATCACAAAGTAGAGAACCTTCTGCTTAAAGTAACTCCTTGATGGCATATCGGTGTAACTGCCAGGCCTGAAGCCTCTGTCCTCACTGCATTCCCACTTCACTCCTCCTCCCATATGGGAGCAGTGTATCAAAAATGGGCAGAGAGTGCTGTGGACCTCCACAATCCTATGCCAATTTTCCACTCTTGAGGAGCCCATCCAGAAGATTCAGAGTTGCCTAGAAGAATCAGAGAGCTGTAACCGACTCCCTCATGCTCCATATGGCACTCAGAGGAAGGAGTTCTGGTGCTGGAGAGAATCTGCTAACTACAGTAGTCCCCACTCCAAAAATCCAGTTTAACCACTGCTGATTTTGACTGACGTGCCTTCTGGCTATGAAGGCACAGCGCTTCCAACTCCTTTTTTTAATGTAAGGTTTGTTCCAAACATAGGATGCGGACTCGAATAAAAATTGCTACAGCTGCTCCAATTAAAAGAAAGCAATTGAAGTAGACAAAGCTTTGAATGCAATCTTAACAAGACCATTTGCTCACAGCTCATTAGTTTAGACTGAAAGGTGGGGACATTTCTAGTATGCACAAGAGGACTATGCTATCATTCTCTTCTGTGGATGCTGGGGGAGCAAACTTAAAGGTTCTGAGTTTGCCCTGATGTAGCCATTTTTAAATG